AAAGACCTTAGGAACTAAGACCTAGGAACCCCATCTTGCTGCCTCTGATAGTCTCCTTTCTTCCTAATACCCGGCAACTGAGGGTTTCAGGGCATAAGCTGAGCCAAGGAAACCCTACTGTCACTCTGCTCTCCTAACACCTTGAGTGGATAGGGAAAGTGGTGGTCCGGTTCTAATTGCCTCGTAATTTGTTTCCTTTGTACTCTTGCCCGCCCCCCACTCCCACCCACTCCCACAATGCATCCTCCACAGAGAAACATGAATGACATTTACAAAGGGAGTTCAAAAGATCACTTTGCTCTACTGGCAATGTTTCCTTCTCTTCTTTGCCTGGCCAGGCCCTCCTTATTCTCTAGTTCTGGTCTTAAACAACTCCCTTCCAGAAAGGTCCTTCCCCATTCCCCAATCCAAATTATGTCACCCCACTGTTCTTCTTACTAGCATCCTGTTTATTTCCTATAAAGTGCTTATCTTTTATAGCTATTTACAGTATTTTATTTTTTATTAAGAGACCTTATTTTTTAGAGTACTTAGAAAAAATTCACATAGAAGGCACATAGTTCCCATATGCCAACATTAACACAGTTTCCTTTATTATTATTTTTTAATATATTTTTATTGAGTTGAGAGGAAGGGAGAGAGAGATTGAAACATCGATGATGAGAGAGAATCATTGATCAGCTGCCTCCTGCACATTCCCTACTGGTGATCGAGCCCACAGCCCAGGCATTTGCCCTTGACCGGAATCGAACCTGGCACCCTTCAGTCCACAGGCTGACACTCTGTCCACTGAGCCAAACCAGCGAAGGCAGTTTCCTTTATTATTAACGTCTTGCATTCCTGTGGGGCATATGTTACTATCGATGTACCATATTTGATACATTATTATTAACTGAAGGTTGCACTAGGGCTCATTCTTCGTGTTGTACAGTTCTATTATAGCTATTTTTAAATTAGTTTATCGAATGTCTATTTTCCAGACTAGACTTTAAAGTTCAGGAAGAAAGAGATCCTGTCCTTTGTTCTTGATTTTTGTCCAATCACTAAATACACTGCCTTACACATAGATGCTCAATAAATATGTTAAGTAACTGAATGTAAAGATAAAAGAATGAATGACTGAATTGAAAACATATGAAATTTCAAGGAGTGGAGTCTGAAGATGAAGATCTTTCTAATTAACTCCTGCTTTGTTTCTCCACTAAAGTACCTTAATTTGTAAAGAGCATAGAATTGTGCATTTAAAAAAGAGACCATGGGACATCAGTTACATTGCCAAGGTACTTCTAGAATGCTCTCTCTCTCTCTTTCTCTCTCGTTAATAAAAAAAAAACCCAAGAAATAAAGATTCCTAATTTCCTCATATATTAACCACTAAAATTATATTCCAAAATGGTGCTAGGAGTTTGAAATATCAACCTATTGCATGACACTGGAAAAATATTAATTCTTGTTGATTATGTTCAATAGAACCTCAATATGTGTCTCCTTTTGCCTCTCTAAATCTCCCTTCCTCCAGGGGCTGATCCCAATGAAGGTAGGGTGTGGAGAGAATGGAGAAGGATGACTTTTGAACACTGGAATTCTGTAGCCAGGAACAGATACTCTAATAACTGTCTCTGAGAATGTGGTAGAAGTACTTTACAGTTATCTTTCAAAAACAGATGTTTTCTATTTGAATTATATCTTTAAAAATACTTCGTCCAGTAGAGATGCTGGTTTGGAAAGGAAGTTGTTCCAAGAAATTCTTGTCAAAGCAGTTCTCATAGTGAAGACAATTTCAGAGGCCAGAGGAACATGCCTAGTGGCTGGAGATGACTTCTGGAGGGAAACCTCTTTTCTTCGGATTTGTTTTAGGGGAGAAGAAATGACTCCTTTCACGGGGAAATGATAGTGATACGGTTTCACATTGTCCCTGGCGGGTGTGCTTCTGCCTGGCGATGAGGTT